TTTTGGGATGTCACTGCCCCATCCCTGGAGCTGTCCAAGGCCAGGTTGGAGCACCCCGCTCTGGGAAAGTTCTCCTTACCCAGGGTGGAACAAGCTGGGATTTTAGGGCCTTTCCAGGGCCAATCCCTGCTGGAATTCCGAGCTCTCCCCTCCTTGCCTTGCCCACAGCACGAGTGTCAACACCACCACTCCAAGACCAAGAAACATTCGAAGAAATCCAAAAAACATCACCGGAAGCGCTCCCGTTCCCGCTCCGTGAGTATCCCTGCAGCCCCTCCCTCTGCACTGATGGTGCTGGAATTCCCATTCCTGGTTGGAATGCCATGGAATTATTGACTGGGGTTCTCCCCTGGGCTGTGTGTGAAGGGCTCGGAGTCCGAGGATGACGACAGCCACTCCAAGAAGAAGCGGCAGCGCTCGGAGTCGCGGTCGGTGTCGGAGCGTTCCTCCAGCGCCGAATCCGGTACGGGGTGGGATGGGATTGGCTTTACACCAGCTGTGCTCTTCTCCTGTGGGATTTACCCACTGATTCCTGGGGGGTTTCTGTCTCCCTGTGGCTGCAGAGAGGAGCTACAAGAAGTCCAAAAAACACAAGAAGAAGAGCAAGAAGAGGAGGCACAAGTCGGTAAGTGGAGCCCAGTTTGCAGTTGGGTTATGGACAGCCTGGCACCCCAGCTGGATGCTCCTGGAGAAAAACTGGGATCAAGGTGGAGGGGGGAGCTGCCAAAATAACAACTCTGTAAACCACCTCAAACTGCTGAATGTGGAGGGTTTAACTCCAGGTGAAGTTGCCTGAGCTGCCTGGCAAATCCAGGTGTTCTCCTTGCTGGGGGGAGCTGGGAAGGATCCCGGCCATTCCTTGTGCCTGCCTGAGTGTCAGGGTCGTGCTGGAAGCTCCGAGTTGCACAAGAGCAGCAAAAGGATCCAAAATGCAGCAAGAGCTTCACTTCTCCCTGGCAGGGTGGGCAGGCCCTGGCACAGGGTGCCCAGAGCAGCTGTGGCTGCTCCTGGATCCCTGGAAGTGCCCAAGGCCAGGGTGGACAACCTGGAGCAATCTGGGATGGGGGAAGGTGTCCCTGCCCACGGCAGAGGTGGAATGGGATGAGACTTAAAGTCCCTTCCAACTTAAATCATTCCGTGATTCTACAATTCTTTAAATGGAAGTTGGACTTCAAAATATTCAACATTAATGTTCACTATTCCCATTTTTTTTTTTCCCCACAGGATTCGCCAGAATCCGATGTGGAACGAGAGAAGGACAAGAAAGAAAGAGAGAGGGACAGTGAGAAGGAAAGAGCCAGACAGAGATCTGAGTCCAAGCATAAATCCCCCACTAAAAAACGGCCTGGAAAAGATTCCGTAAGCTCTGCTTCCTGTTCTTCCTGCTGCTTTGGGCTCTGCTGGCTGCAGCCTTGCTCTGGGAAAGGGCAGAGGTTGCACTTGGGGATCCTGGAGCTCTGTGCCGTGCCCCAGTTGGGATTTGGGGGTTTCTGGCTGGGTGTCCCAGCGTGGAGCCTCCCTGGATCCCATCCTGACCCTGCCCCATCTCTCCTCAGGGAAACTGGGACACCTCTGGCAGCGAGCTGAGCGAGGGGGAGCTGGAAAAACAGAGGAGGACTCTTTTGGAACAGCTGGATGAAGATCAATGAGAAGATCCTTGATACCAAAAACGTTTACAGGTGGCAAAATAAAACCAAGCCTTGTGTGGGCAAGGCCCTGGGGCCGGTGGCCCGTGGCCCGTGGCCACAACAAGGGTGGCTTTTAGTTTTTTACCACTTCAATCCAGTCAAAAGTAGAAAAATCCATGGAATTCTGAGGGCAAAGCTGTGCCTGGCCTGGAGCTGCGGGGCGGGATGGGATCCCCTGGAGGGGACACAGAGGTGGCAGCAGTGTCCCCAAGCACTTTCCCGTGTCCTTCCCAAGGCAGGGAACAACCCTGGGCTGCCTGGGCAGAGCCCAGCTCAGCTTTGGGGAAAAAACTCCTGATTTAAGTCCTTGTGCTTTCGTTCTTTGGATTTGCTTGGGTGGGATTTTTTTTTTTGGGAAGGCAGCAGGAGTAAGGAATCCATGTCCTGATGTGTTCTGCAATCCCCTGGATTTTGGGGTTGTTTGGCACTGGGGTTTTTGTCCAAGATTGATCCGTGTCCAAGTCCCGACTCCATCGATCCCAAATGCCAGGGAATGCCGTGTTTGGGAATTCTGCTGTGCCAGCAGAGGGAGCGTGTGGGACACGAGCACCTCGGCATTCCCAAAATCCCGGCCCAGCCCTGGCTGTTACTCCAGCGTTTCTCTCCACCTTTTCTCTCCCCCTTCGGAAAACTTAGGAATAAAAATCCAATGTTAAACGCAATTCCATGTGTTGCCTTAAGAACCTGCTGCAGAATGTACCTGCACAGCCAGAGGAGGGAGGAGGGAGCAGCTCCAGCCCCGTTTTCCAGCCCCTGCACGTTCAGGGAGGTGCCCCCAGCCCTGCTCGGTGAGAAAACTGGGAAGCCGCTGTCCTTGGAATATTTTTGTACATTTTTATCGATGATTAAACCTTGTCTTTTAGCATGTACTGGTATTTATTTCTCCTTAAATACTCTGTACAGCTCTGAGCCACGGACTCGCTCGTAAAACCTGATTTGAAGACTTCCAGATTCCTTTTCAGGAGTTTTTCCCTGAATTTTGACCACTTTTACCAGTGCATAAACACATAAGGATCCATTTATCCTGGGAATTTTGTGGCTGGGGTGGTTACAAGGCTCAGAATCCTTAAGAACACCGTGAGATTGAAACGAGTTAATTTGAAATATAAAAGGCAGGAGGTTGTAACCATTTTTTCCTGGGATGCTTTGGAATTTTCTGGAATGGTTTGGGATGGGAAAGCACATCCCAGTCCTGCTGTTTCCTCCTGAAGGGTCATTGCTCATCACCCATTGCCTGGGGAATAAACACCTGGATTTGGTCAAACAGGGCTTGGGTGGTGGGGTGGTTTGTTATCCATGGGTGTTTGGTGTGGAAATCCAGGTTGGAATATTCCAGGTTTTTCCCTGCAGGGTTTGGAGAACAGGAGGGCAGCAGGTCCTGGGAGCTGAGAGGAGGATTTGGAGTCTGACAGGTCCCGAGGGTTTGTAAGCAGGGAGGAACTTCTCCCAGAGCTCTTCTTCCCTTGCAGCCACACAAATTCAAGGAGAAAGATGTTCCTCGGGGAATATCACCTGTAAGAGGTTTGCCTTGATTTTTCCATTAAAAATAAAAAAAATGGGAATGTCAGTTAGTCCAGTGGTGGGGTTTTCTTAACATCTTAATTCACTTTGCTGGAAGAAACTCAGCTTAAGCTGAGCCTGCTTCAGGTTTATTTTTCCAGCTTGTTTTTGGTGTTTTCCTATTTCCCAACCTCTGCCTTCTCTCCTGGGAACTGGAAGGAATTTTAGCCAAATTGATTCTTTTTGATGAATCATTGGATTATTTTGGATGATTTTTAACCGTGTCCATCAATGTTGAAACCATGGCTGTGCTGGTTAATCCTGATCTCCCTCCTCAGAATAATTTTATTAAACCCTTTTAAAAATTAAATTTGATCTTAAAATTCAAATTGTTTGGGCCTTAAATATTTGAATTGTTTTGAGTGCATTTCTGGCAAATATTCATCCCCATTTATTTTATTTCTCTCCTGGAGCTGATCCAGGTGTCTCCCAGGAACATCCACACCCCAAATTTCTTCCCTCAGCCTCTTTGAGATTAATGAATAAGAAATTATTTCAAAATTCTTTCAGTCTTCATCCACACAAGCTCCAGGTGTTCACCTAGCAAATAGCATTTTTTTTTTGGCAAAAAAACCCCAAACAAAACAGGTAAAAGTGACCCAAAAAATCCCTCTGGATTTCAGTGTAGTAGTGTAAATAGTTTATTTGATTTTATGGCAGGAACAGACCAGGAAAGGAACGTGAACTGCTTTAGAAACACTCCTAATCTTGCTAAGAAGCAGATCTATGACTAGAAAAATATTAAAGAGAACATGCCAGCTTGGCTTTCATTCTCAGCTTTTATTATAAAAATACCTTTGAGCTGAAGAAAATGAGATTTAGTGCTTATACCCCAACAAGTGCTGAAATTTGAAATTCAAATTACCCAATTTTCTTTGATCCAAACACTCATTCCAACAGTGGCATGTTCTCTTTAGCAGGTCAAGTACACAGTGCTGTAAATGCAAAACTTGGCAGTTTTTCAAGGAAAAATTCCTGGAAATTGGTCAATGTGGTAACTCTTGAGTCCGAAACTGTCCTTTTAGTTAAATATAAAAACAAAAACTATAAGTTAAAATAACATTCAGATTGTATAGCACAGGCTTGATGCATTTATTTCATTTTAAACAATATTTACAATATTACCCAGAGGCTAAAGTGGGGGCGGGGGGGTAAGTGTAAAAACCATAAAAAACTGCACCAATTTTGTAGCAAAATATCTGTACATTTAAAAACAGATTATCATATAACTACACATTATCCAAGGGGAAAAAAAAAACAAAAACAAACAAACCAGGGACCTTCACCAGTGGTTCACAGGAGCACAATGGAAAAGGGCAAAGAAATTCAGTGGTTAAATACTATACAAGAAATTTTACAATGAACAGATGGATGAGCCCAGGCAGGGAAGCTGGAAGCAAAATGGGATTTGGGAAGGACAAAATTTCTCCTCAGTCCGGCTCTTCCCAACTCCTGGATGCTGCTGGCAGGGAGTGGGATCCATCCTCTGCTCCGGGGCACAGGGAGGGGCACCATGGTTCTAAATCGGCCTCCTGACCCTTTCTGGGCTTGGAAAACTCCATGGAGAGCATGAGCCCTGCTGGGAATTTTAGGCTGGGCTTCCCTTCCCAAGGAGCCTCAGCGGGGATCTCGGAGCCGGAGCAGGGTTGGAATTGGAATCCCCCTGCCAGCAACGGGACTGCACGGGTCCTCAGAGCCTGGCACTGGTTACTGGGTGTTAATTGCTTAGTGCTAATTAATTAAACGCGCCGTTACCCCAACGCTGCCCGCCTCGGCCGCCCAGCCAAGCCCCGGAACATCCCAAAGCCCCGCGCTGGGCTGGGGGAACCTCCTGTTCCATTCCCAGCCCCGGGGGCCGTGTTCCGTTCGGAGCTGCACGGCTGGGAAAGGCCTGGCTCCTTCTTGGGGTTAATTCCGGGTACGGAAAACCCTCCAACGTCTTGGTTTGCGGGTTTAATTTAAGTTAAGTGCAGCTGAAGGCCGAGCCTGCCCCTCGGCCCAGCGTTAAAAGCCAAGCGCATCCCAGTTTTCCCAGTATTCCCAGTTTCCAACCAGTCAGGCCCACGGGAGCCCTCGCTCTCACCAACCCAACGCCCCAACCCAACCCCTATTTTACATTTTGGTTACAAACCCTGCGGAGCCTCGGCGTCCAGAGAAACCCGACCGAGCCCGATCCTACGGCTCGGATGCACCGGCGCGGGAGCTCCCGTTGGAGGCACTTGGCGTGGCGAGCGCGGCGCGGGGCCCCGGCTGGAAGGTCCGTGGTGCTCCCTGGAGAAGGTCGGGACGGGGCTCACATGGCCAGCTCGGCGCCGTTGGAGCGCAGCCCGTGCTCGTCGAAGCGGCGGCGCACGCTCCTCCTCAGCGCGTCGGCCCGGCGGTACGGCTGGTTCCGGAGATCTGCGGGGAGCCGGCAGTCAGCAGCGCCCACGCGGGGACGCGCGGACACGCGGAGCGCCCGGACAGACGCGGAAAGGCCCGCTGGAAGCCAGTCAAAGCAGCTTGTGGAGGACGGGAGCGAGGGTGGCACCGCGAGGGGAAGGACGGACGTGCCCGAGCTACGCGCCCCAGCGGCCGGTTAATACTGGTGGGATTGGGGTGCTGGTGGGAATGGTGCTGTGGGAATGGTGCTGTGGGAATGGTGCTGTGGGAATGGCCCCTCGCACCCACCACCAAGGCCACATCGACCCCAGCCCGCTGGTTCGAGGTGTTCCCTGCGTGTTCCCACGCGCCAGAGCTGCAGGGTGTTCCTCACGGCAGCTGTGTGACCCTGCCGGGATGGATTTAGGATCCTCACGTCTCCATTTGGCATGGATTCATGGAGTCGTTCAGGTTGGCAAGGAGCTCCAAGAGCTAAAAGAGGTGCCCCTGGGAAAAGCAGCTGGCACTGGGTTGGGATTCTCCAGCTGCTTTGCATGGCTGGAGGGATGCGTCATCAGCCAAAGGAGGGGAGAGCTCGGGAGGGAACACTGAGCATGGGATGGATGGATGGATGGATGGATGGATGGAGGGATGGATGGATGGATGGAGGGAGGGATGGATGGATGGATGGATGGATGGATGGATGGATGGATGGATGGATGGATGGGGGATAAAGCTGATGGATGGTGGAAGCCCATTACAGGTGTCATTACAGGTGTGCTGTCACCTGTGCACCTACAAGAGAACGAGCACTGAAGACAATTCCAGCTCAAATACTGGTCTCCTGGCCAACAAATTTGTGTTGGACTGGGCAAATCCCTCAGATGTCCTGGATAATTTGTGTTGGGGGTTACACAGAACTCCCAAACTTCTCAGCTCTCCCCTCTCTACACCTAGAGCTGGAGATTGTCCACCTCATGCAGAACCCAACTATGGGATGCAACACCTGGGGACAAAACTGGTTTGGGCTGGACTTGAAGAGAAATGGCCAAACCGGAGTGTGACGGTGGTCACCAACCAACAACACCTGGGGACAAGATTATTTCGGGCTCAACTTGAATTAAAATGGCCAAAATGGAGTGTGAAGATGGTCACCAACCAACAGCACTTGGGGACAAGACTGTTTTGGGCTCAGCTTGAGGAGAAGTGGCCAAAACAGTGTGATGATGGTCACCAGCCAACATCCTGTGGATCCCTGCACCTCCAGAGGTGAAAATCAAGGATCTGGGTCTCAAGTGGCCTCCAGGGTCTCACCAGTATTAGCTCAGCCACATCTACCACCAGCTGCCTGGCACAGAGAGAGAGGAGGAAGCCAAGTAAAAAGAGATGCTTGCCAGCTCTGGGAATCCTCCACCACGGCTGTGCTAGAAGAAATCCTTACCCTCGAGTGAACATTGGGAAATTTAGTGATATTATTCTTCTTTAGGGCTAAACAGAAAACAAAAAACAACAAACAAAACAGAACACAAAAAAATGATGGTTAAGTAAAAAAAAAAAAATGGGATGGAGAATGAAGAGCAAGTCAAGTCAGTGTTCAAACCTCCCGGGCAGAAACCACAGAGCAAGAGGGGTTAGACAGGGCAGGAGGGACAGGAGGCCGCTCCCTACCCCACTTCCAAGCTGCTTTGAAGGTTGGCTCCAGGAAGAGGACACAGAGAGAGCCCGAAGAGCGAAGAACCATGGAGTGGGTTAGTTTGTGGATTTATTGGCCGATGGAATTCCACAGGGAACGGTGGAAGGAGCACTGCTGGTTCCTTAAGCTGAGTGCTTAACGAGGACAGCAGTGTCCAGGGCCATGCTGGGTGGGGACACACCCGTGGGACAACGGGCACCACGGTGGGAATGGCTCAGTTCCATGCCAGGTTTGCCTTGGCACCGTGCCGGTGGCTTTGCCCTGTGTTCCCAACTCCCAGCCCTGCTCCATGCACTGGCTCCAGGCTCAGAGAGAATTCCTGACTCCGTGAAATAAAGCTGGCATGGAAGCGGCATGGAATAAAAGAGTTAAATGTGGACACGACCGAAGGAGGAGAGATTTCACCCCATGCAGCTGAACATGCAGGAGCTCGCGAGGACTCCTAAACCACCCCGTGGGTGTTATTCCCGAGTCACATCCACCCAGCCCGACATTCCACATGCAATTCCACATGCAGAGCACCTCGAGGTGACACAAGCCAAGTGAGCTGTCACTGCCTGGGCTCCTCAGCCCTTGCACTGCAGGAGACCCATCCCAGTGAGTCCCAGCTTGCTGTTCCACGGGACACAAGGACAGCCGGATGGGATGGGATGGGATTAGGGACGGGATGAGCAGGACATGCAACAGAGGGGACGCCACTACAATGTCAGGAGGACGCTGGACACCACTACACACTCGACAGTCACAGACTCCTGGCTGAGATCCACACAAACAAAGTGGCAAAAAGTCTACAGCGACCTTCCTGGCTTCTAAGAGCGTCAGGTGTGAAAGAGGGAGAGTTTAGTAATGGAATTCCTCGGGGACAACGGGGTCGCAGAAGAACCGAGAGCCGCGCTTGGCGCTCCGGGCGGTGAAGGGCACCGTCTTCAGCACTGCATGGGAACAACAACAGCCACACACGAGCCGAGGTCAGCGCTGCCCCGCCGGGGACACTGCACAGCTCCAGCCCGCTCCTCCTGGCCTGGGGACAGCGGGGTGGACACGCTGCAGGAGGAGTTTCACCCAGCCTGGTCTGGCTTGGAAGCGACCTTCAACTCATCTCATGCCAGCCCTGCCGTGGCAGGGACACCTCCACTGTCCCAGCTGCTCCAGCCCTGTCCAGCCTGGCCTTGGGCACTGCCAGGGATCCAGGGGCAGCCAGAGCTGCTCTGGGCACCTGTGCCAGGGCCTGCCCACCCTCCCAGCCAGGAATTCCTTCCCAATCCCTGACCTTTCCTTCATCTTAAAGCCATTCCCCTTCCAATAAAGGGATTGCCTTGAAGAACTTGCTTTAAGGTGTGCTACGGGTTTGTGGGGAGACCTTGGTGTTAGATTTGGGTGGGAAGGGACCCTAAATCCCATCCAGTGTTACTCCAGCCATGGGCAGGGACACCCCCCACTATCCCAGAGTGCTCCAAGCCCCATCCAACCTGGCCTGGAGCACTCCCAGAGATGGGGAGGTGCAGGATTCACCGGGAGATCTCCAGGGATGGGGAGGTGACCTTGGTCCCACCTGACCTTCCATGCCTGACCTTTCCTCCTCCGTGGCTTGAGGGCCCCAAATGGGCAAACCCAGGCACAGGAGTGCAGGAAATGTTTAATTGGAGCCTGGCAGCCTCTCCCCTGGATGGTTTTCTCCACAGGGATGGGCGTCTGCCACACAATCTGTTCCTTCCACAGAGCAGGAAAACCATTTTTTCCAATTAATCAAAGTCCCAGGAGTCCGGAGGAGTTGTGGAAGCAATGCCAGGTTGGATATTATTGCCACCCTGCCCTTTAAATGAGGAATGTTATCTCAGGGCCATTAATCAAGGTTAAAAGGAGCTGGGCAAGCTTCACACACTTCATCCAGTTGGGCAAAAATTCCCTGGCTGCCTTAGTGAGGGATCAAGCAGCTCTCCTGCCCTTCAGCAGGGAAAAACTCCTGTGGAAAACTTCCAGGAGCAGTTGGCAAAGACCCTTTATTTTTGGGTTCTGCACAAGGAAACTGAGTTTGTGAAGCTCCTGAGGTGTTTAAATCATTTTCCTTCCACACCACAGGTGAAAAACGTGTGGCAATCTCACGGTTCTGCAATCCCTGTAGCTGGAAGTGTTCAAAAGGATTTAATTCCTGGGAAAGATGGAGTTCAGGTGGCTCTTAATCAGCAAATATTTCCTGACAGTGCCTGGCTGCAGCAGGGGCTGCGTCCCTTCCCCCTGGGATCTGCAGGAAAACCTGGAGCAGTCTGGGGTCGCTGAGGGTCGACTGAAGGATTTCTGGGATCAATCTTAATGAAAACAGAGCCTCTCCATCCTCACCCTGATCCCATTTGTGGGGGGAAAAAAGGGATCCGGGACAGATCCACCGGGCACAGCTGGAGCAGCTGCTGGGATCAGGCACCCCCTGCCTGCTCTAAAACCCCGGGAATGTCCCCGGCAGCTGGAAGAGAAGGAGCAGAAGCCTCTGGACCTGCTCCACAGCACTCAGGCAAGAGAGGAGGTGGAGCAGAGCCCGGGCACTGGCAGCAGGGTACCTGTGATGATGTCCTCGATGGCGCCGTCCTTGCCCTCGTACACGTGCCGGTTGTCCTTGACCTGCCGGCGCCGCAGCTCCGCGATCAGCTCCTGCTGCTGCCGCTTGCTCTTGTGGGACGGGGACTGGGAGCACAGGCACGGGTCAGGGCAGCTGCCCCCTGCTCCCCTGGGCTCCTTCCCGAGCCTCACCCACCCCTGCAGCCAGCACTTCCCGCAGGAGCTGCCATTTCCACTGCGTTCCCTCCTCCTCCTCTTTTTCCTCTTCTTTTCTTTCTCTTCCTCTTTGCCCTCCCCCCATTTCATCTCCTCCTCCTTCTTCTCGTCCTTCTTTTCCCCCTCCTTTTCATCCTCCTCCTCTTTCTTTTCCTCCTTTTCTTCCTCTTCCTCTTCCTCCTCTTTGCCCTCCACCCCACTTCTTCTCATTCTCCTCTTTCTCCTCCTTTTCTTCTCCTCCTCCTCCTTCTCCTCTTTTTCATCCCCCTCCTCCTTTTCCTCCTTCTTCCTCTTCCTCCTCTGCCCTCTCCCCCACTTCTTCTCATCCTCCTCTTTCTCCTCCTTTTCTCCTCCTCCTCCTCCTCCTTCTCCTCTTTTTCATCCTCCTCCTCCTTCTTTTCCTCCTCCTTTCTCCTCCTCCTCCTTCGTCACTCCCACTCCACAGAGAAACCAGGCAAGGATAAGAGCTCGTGGAAATACAGACAAGACAACTCTCCACCTATTTCATTTTCCTTAATTTTGCCAACTCCCAAAGCAGCAGAACCCACACTGGAATTTTTCCAGCCTATCCCAGTTCGCTCCATAAAAACTTCCAGACTCTTTGTAGGCAACTACAAAGTTCCTCACTCAGAGCTGAGGTTTCTGGAAATCAGGAACCCAATCCCAGCTGGAAGCTCTGTCTGTGCCACACCTTTTGGTCCTGCTGCTCCATCAACGCTTCTTGCTCCATGAGTTTTTCCATTAAGGCCTGCTCCTGCTTTTTCCTCAGCTCGTTTTCTTCCTCTGCTTGCTGTTTGTGAGAAAATCCACAGGTTAGAGATCCCAGGGAGCCAGGGAGGAATGGGATCCGTGCCAGCACGGGGCTTTCTGAGGAAGGGAGAGGAGGAGGAGAGAGAAGAAGAAGAAAGGCAGAAGGGAGAAAGGAGAAGGAGGAGAAAGAGGAAGAGAAGGAGAAGGAGGAAAAAGAGGAGAAGGAGGAGGAGGAAAAGAAAAGGAGAAGAAAGAGGAGGAGGAGAAGGAGAAGAGTATGAGAAGAGAAGAATTTAGGGGAGGACAAAGAAGATGAGGAGGAGAAAGAGAGAAAGAAAGAGAGAAAGAGAGAGAAAGAGAGAAAGAGAAAGAGAGAAAGAGAAAGAGAAAGAGAAAGAGAAAGAGAAAGAGAAAGAGAAAGAGAAAGAGAAAGAGAAAGAGAAAGAGAAAGAGAAAGAGAAAGAGANAGAGAAAGAGAAAGAGAAAGAGAAAGAGAAAGAGAAAGAGAAAGAGAAAGAGAAAGAGAAAGAGAAAGAGAAAGAGAAAGAGAAAGAGAAAGAGAGAAAGGGAGAAAGAAAGAGAGAAAGAGAGAGAAAGAAAGAAATAGGGAAAGAGAGAGAGAAAAAGAGAAAAAGAGAAAGAGAAAAGGAGAAAGAAAGAGAGAAAGAAAGAAAGAGAAAGAGAAAGAGAGAAAGAGAGAAAGAGAGACAAAGAAAGAGGGAAAGAAAGAGAGAAAGAGGAGGAAGAGAAGGAAGAGGAGGACAAGGACCAAGGACAAGGACAAGGAAGCTCTGGATTACCTTGTAGGCCTTCACAAAGCGGACAAACACCGGGAAGAAGACCGAGGGTGGGGTTGTTTTGGGGTTCTCCCCGAAATACTTCACAGCATCATCAAAGGCATCCTGCAACAGGCACAGCTTCAGCGCCCTGCACACCTCCCAGGCACCCTCCCCACCCCCAGCATCCCATGGAAATGCACCCCCCCAGCAGATCCCGGGAGCACAGAAGCACCTGGGCTATTTTGGCATCGTCCTGGAGCTTCTTGAGCTTGCCCTCGTTGCTCTGGATGAAGTCCTTGAGCATGGTGTTGTGGTCGTGCATGGTGTACTCGCGCTTGGTCAGCTCCAGGCCCCGCTGCAGCTCCTTCACGTCCAGCAGGACGTTCTCCAGGGACACTGCGAGGGCCAGGGGAAGGCTGAGCGTGCCAGCGGTGCCAGGAGTGCCAGCCTGGCAGGGCAGGGGACGGGGCTGTACCTGCTGCTGCCTTCTCCACGTAGTGCAGCTCGTTGTAGAACAGGGCCACGTGCTGGTACTTCTCCTTCACCACGTTGGAGATGTAGTGCAGCAGCGTCTGCTTGCGGTCCGTCGACTTGGTCTCCAGGAGCTGCGGGGAGCAGGGACGGAGATGTGGGAGCTGAGGGAGCTGGGAATGGGCTGGGAAATTCCTGAGGGAGTTGGAGAGGGGCTGGAGAATTCCTGAGGGAGCTGGGAAGGGAATGGAGAATCCCTGAGGGAGCTGGGAAGGGAATGGAGAATCCCTGAGGGAGCTGGGAAGGGGTTCAGCCTGGAGCCAAGGAGGATCCCCAGGGATCTTTTCCCTCTCTGGAATTCCCTGCCAGGAGGGGACAGCCGGGGGGATTTGGGATCATCCCAGGGAATGGGACAGGAGCAGAGGGAACGGCCTCAGGCTGGCCCAGGGGAGCTCAGGGTGGGACCAGCAGGAATTTCCCATGGAAAAGGGGCTCAGGGATTGGCACTGCCCAGGGAGGGTTGCAGTGCCCATCCCTGCAGGGATTTAAAGCCCTGTGGATGTGGCACTGGAGACATGGGGCAGTGGTGGCCTTGGCAGTGCTGGGAATGGTTGGACTCCATGATTTGGGAAGGTTTTTCCAGCTTCAAGAATTCCACAGCTTTAATTCCAGCTGGTGCCCAGAGGACATCCCTGCTTTTCTCACCAGGTCTAAACTCTGCAGTTTAAATCCGTACACAGCCCCTCGTTTGCTGCTGTTCATGTAATTCCCAAGGGCCAGGATGATCTGCCAGGATGAAACAGAGCAGAGCGGGAATTCTCAGCACAAATTCCTGGAGCTTTAGACACCACTGGAGGAGAGCTGAGACCAGACCTACCTCCAGGATTTTCTTAAGTTTTTGGGATGACTTTATGGAGACAGAGGCAGCGATTATGGCGTGGAGTTGCTGCAGGGAAACACAGGGAGAGCTTTGGTTAATGCACATCCAGCCAGGAGGAAAATCAACATCCAAACACTCACATCCTGGGAAAAAAACTTCCTGGTTTTTATCCACACCATGGGACAGAGCAATGGTGTCCCTCTGCCACGGACCCAGGCTGGGAGCCCCGGGAATGTTCCCCTGGAGAAGGGAAGGATCCAGGCAGAGCTCAGAGCCCCGGGAATGTTCCCCTGGAGAAGGGAAGGATCCAGGCAGA